TTAACTAAATTCTAATTTGATGTGTCTCTGTTAAATCTTTACTTAATGCGCATATTGAATTGCCTTTTGCCAGATCAATCATTCACATTGCTATTGTATATCTTCTTATTCTACACATTATAACTTTTCAAGAGATTTCTCTCATTTTATTTTTTATTAAATGAAATTTTGTTCCCAGGTTTTCTAAACAAATTTGTGTGTTCTTACTTGTTCAGTTTTTCTCCTTGATTCTGAAGATTGTATTAGCATATAAGTATGGTGCCATAGCAAAGTGGTCCATAGGCAATTTGTGAAGAGTGGACTGGCACCATAGCCGTGATTACATGTTTATAGGGTGGAAATTTGGCCTTCCAATCCACCATATTCTGCCATCTGTCAATGATAACACTGTACTGTATAAATCGTAATATTGGCTCAGCTACATAAATTAGTGAGGGAAAACACAAGGAATATCATTTTAGATCCCAAGGGCCAATGGTATTCCTTCAACTATTGTTTTTAATGAAAATGCTTATAATATTTTATTTTATTTTGAAGGTGTGTTATTCGTGGTTGTGTTCCCAAAAAGATTATGGTCTATGGAGCATCTTTTGGAGGTGAACTTGAGGTAAGGATTTGTTCTTAAAAATCAATTGCTATGAATCTGAACTAACTATTTGGTATATAACACGGTTGTTGCAATTTTTTTGCTCTCTGTAGCCATAGCTTGAGCTCTACTTATACACTAGACCTTGCAACAACATTTACTTTTTTACCTTTCCAAGACACTTTCCTCCAATTGAAACACAATTTTTGGGAGTAGATATTTTTTTCACATCTCTCAAAGGAATAATTCCATGCATGTTTGTTTAAGCTTAGGAAAAGGGTTTTTCAGTTATTACATTGAAATTTGGTATCATAGTTGGATAAATTTTGGCAAATCAGCAGAAATAAAAAAAATCAGTTTTAGTGTTTTGTAGGTGGCTTGAAATATTAGTTTTAAAACTAAGTCTATATCATATTTCCTTTTCTTTTTCTTGCTGTAGCTGTTTGGGCAACTGCAACAGTATGCACTCCTGCAATTTATGTTATGTGTCTTGCAGTACTTAGTCAGTAAGTGTTGGATTTATATGTAATCGGATCTGATGTTATGTAGTTATATTAGTGTTGAATATAGTGAAAAACTATATTTGGATTAATCTCCCTTGTGTAAAATACACACATAGGGTTCTCTATTTATAATAGAAGAAATATGGGCTAAGCCCAAAATACAAATGAGAAATAATAATAAATTAACTAAAAGATAAAAGATATAATATATCTAACAATTAGGATTGGTTCAATTTTCATCAAATATGTGATGAAAAATAATATTATATTCATCAGATGGTGTTTTGGTTTTCCCTTTATGTTTTTTATTCATGCAGGTTCATAATTATTAAAATACTATTGGTGTTTCTTATATCATCATCTGTATACATTTTACTAAAATGTATGATTGGTCTCTGACAGGATGCCAGGAATTATGGGTGGGAATTGAGTGAGAAAGTTGACTTCAATTGGAAGAAGCTCTTGCAAAAGAAGGTATTTCAAGATTTTATTTTTATGTTTTATGATATAAAGTATTTCGTCTAGATTTTTAAAATCAAATTCATATATCTAACTTAAAGGTATAGTTTGGATTGCCTTTGATTTTATAGATGTTTTTGTTTACGTGCATGTCCTCCTACTAATTTGCTTACATTAAAGCCGAAAACAGCTTATTTATTAGTTTTTAACCATGTTGAATGGTGTTTTTGTGATCCATGTAATGTACCTCACCTAGCAAGGTAAAACTTTGTTGTTGTTTTTATGGTGTTGTTCAATAATTTTGTTTTTGTCAAACGGCAGACAGATGAAATAAACAGATTAAATGGAATTTACAAGAGGCTGTTATCCAATGCGGGGGTTAAATTATTTGAAGGCGAGGAAAAGATAGTTGGTCCAAATGAGGTTGAGGTGACACAATTGGATGGCACAAAACTGTCTTACTCTGCTAAGCACATATTGATTGCAACTGGTAGCAGGGCTCAACGTCCAAATATTCCAGGACAGGTGAGTTTGCTTGTTTTGAAATATTATTGAAAAATGATCCTACTGATACGGTTGTTCCTTTTATGAGTAAATACTTTTAATGCATCTTAAGAATAAACAAGAAGATTATGGTAGGAAAGAGAGCAGAAATAGTGACTGAATTGTAAGNTACAGAGGAAAGAATCTGCAATAATTTTTTTGTCATTCTTCTGTCAGTTCTTCCCTTGTGTGAACTGACGAATGTAATGATCTCTTTGTTTCTGTGTTGACTGTTCTGTTGTCAGTTTGCTGGATTTTACCTTATTTTTCCTCTTAACTAACGGTGTTTTTAGAGTTTGATTTCTGAACTTATTTGACATTTTGCGGTTGTGATGTTTTGATGCAGATTTAGTTCAACTTTTTCGATAGCGATGGCTAGGAAGATGCTTATCGACGGTGAGGCTGAATCGGTTCCAGGTGTAGAACAAGGGACGCATTTTGACTTTGACTTGTTTATTATTGGGGCTGGAAGTGGTGGCGTTCGTGCTGCTAGATTTTCATCGAATTACGGAGCTAAGGTTTGTAGCTGTGTTGGTGCTTAACAGTTAGCTCATGATGTTATGTAATTATATTGCTAAACATGTTTAATCCGTGTAAACAGCTTTGCTTTTGAGGATCTGAGTTATTGAAGCTTTTCTTGATTTTTGGAGTGTAGTTATATTTTTTAAATGTTTGAACAGCTTTTCAAGATCGTTTTTGAAGTCCTAATTTTCTAAAAGGACGAGTTGTGTATATTTAAATGCCAAAATATTAAAATACAACTAGTAGGGAAGGATTCACTTTTCTTATTAACTTAGTTAATCTTTCGTTTTTTAGTGTTATTCTCTGACGTATATTACTGGTTTATTTGTTGCCTCATGTATAATATTCTGCATTCTGAAGGTGGGGATTTGTGAGCTTCCGTTTAATGCCATTAGCTCAGAAACAATTGGAGGAGTTGGTGGAACGTAAGTCATAAATTTGATATCTCTTTCCTTTCTATAGATTATTTTCTTCAGTCATTTTTCTATCTTTCTTTTTACATGGTGGAGGCATTCCTTGTTAATTACACTGGGGGTAAAATCAACTGGTGTATGCTTGAAGACAACTCTCCATTTCGATATGGGTTTCAAATTCTTCATACATTTTATGCTACTTTGTTTACCAACTTTTATGCGATTGGTATTAAGATAATGGCTGGGTCATTGTAGTTCTTATGAAATTGTTCTCAAGCATGTGAAATGCTCTGCTTGTGTTAACAGCTGCTTGCAAGTTTGTTACAGTAATCAGATGCCTCAATTTTTCTATTTAACTAAATTCTAATTTGATGTGTCTCTGTTAAATCTTTACTTAATGCGCATATTGAATTGCCTTTTGCCAGATCAATCATTCACATTGCTATTGTATATCTTCTTATTCTACACATTATAACTTTTCAAGAGATTTCTCTCATTTTATTTTTTATTAAATGAAATTTTGTTCCCAGGTTTTCTAAACAAATTTGTGTGTTCTTACTTGTTCAGTTTTTCTCCTTGATTCTGAAGATTGTATTAGCATATAAGTATGGTGCCATAGCAAAGTGGTCCATAGGCAATTTGTGAAGAGTGGACTGGCACCATAGCCGTGATTACATGTTTATAGGGTGGAAATTTGGCCTTCCAATCCACCATATTCTGCCATCTGTCAATGATAACACTGTACTGTATAAATCGTAATATTGGCTCAGCTACATAAATTAGTGAGGGAAAACACAAGGAATATCATTTTAGATCCCAAGGGCCAATGGTATTCCTTCAACTATTGTTTTTAATGAAAATGCTTATAATATTTTATTTTATTTTGAAGGTGTGTTATTCGTGGTTGTGTTCCCAAAAAGATTCTGGTCTATGGAGCATCTTTTGGAGGTGAACTTGAGGTAAGGATTTGTTCTTAAAAATCAATTGCTATGAATCTGAACTAACTATTTGGTATATAACACGGTTGTTGCAATTTTTTTGCTCTCTGTAGCCATAGCTTGAGCTCTACTTATACACTAGACCTTGCAACAACATTTACTTTTTTACCTTTCCAAGACACTTTCCTCCAATTGAAACACAATTTTTGGGAGTAGATATTTTTTTCACATCTCTCAAAGGAATAATTCCATGCATGTTTGTTTAAGCTTAGGAAAAGGGTTTTTCAGTTATTACATTGAAATTTGGTATCATAGTTGGATAAATTTTGGCAAATCAGCAGAAATAAAAAAAATCAGTTTTAGTGTTTTGTAGGTGGCTTGAAATATTAGTTTTAAAACTAAGTCTATATCATATTTCCTTTTCTTTTTCTTGCTGTAGCTGTTTGGGCAACTGCAACAGTATGCACTCCTGCAATTTATGTTATGTGTCTTGCAGTACTTAGTCAGTAAGTGTTGGATTTATATGTAATCGGATCTGATGTTATGTAGTTATATTAGGATTGGTTCAATTTTCATCAAATATGTGATGAAAAATAATATTATATTCATCAGATGGTGTTTTGGTTTTCCCTTTATGTTTTTTATTCATGCAGGTTCATAATTATTAAAATACTATTGGTGTTTCTTATATCATCATCTGTATACATTTTACTAAAATGTATGATTGGTCTCTGACAGGATGCCAGGAATTATGGGTGGGAATTGAGTGAGAAAGTTGACTTCAATTGGAAGAAGCTCTTGCAAAAGAAGGTATTTCAAGATTTTATTTTTATGTTTTATGATATAAAGTATTTCGTCTAGATTTTTAAAATCAAATTCATATATCTAACTTAAAGGTATAGTTTGGATTGCCTTTGATTTTATAGATGTTTTTGTTTACGTGCATGTCCTCCTACTAGTTTGCTTACATTAAAGCCGAAAACAGCTTATTTATTAGTTTTTAACCATGTTGAATGGTGTTTTTGTGATCCATGTAATGTACCTCACCTAGCAAGGTAAAACTTTGTTGTTGTTTTTATGGTGTTGTTCAATAATTTTGTTTTTGTCAAACGGCAGACAGATGAAATAAACAGATTAAATGGAATTTACAAGAGGCTGTTATCCAATGCGGGGGTTAAATTATTTGAAGGCGAGGGAAAGATAGTTGGTCCAAATGAGGTTGAGGTGACACAATTGGATGGCACAAAACTGTCCTATTCTGCTAAGCACATATTGATTGCAACTGGTAGCAGGGCTCAACGTCCAAATATTCCAGGACAGGTGAGTTTGCTTGTTTTGAAATATTATTGAAAAATGATCCTACTGATACGGTTGTTCCTTTTATGAGTAAATACTTTTAATGCATCTTAAGAATAAACAAGAAGATTATGGTAGGAAAGAGAGCAGAAATAGTGACTGAATTGTAAGATGTTAGTTCAAGTACTTGGATGTTATAGTTCAATCCAAGTAAACTAGCTTAACAAGACTTGTAACCATCAGTGATGTTGTTGGTGGATGGTAAGAGAGCCAAAAATCCATCATATACGTATGGTGGGTGGCATGGTGACAATCCGTCGACAAAAAGAATATGTAATATATGTAAAAGTACTAAAATAAGTGTAGATATAAATAAAATCTAAAATCAGTAAAGATAAATTAAAAAACTAAAAGTTAGCAGATACTAAAAAAATAGTTATAAATAAAAAAACTAAAAAACATAATTGAAAAACTAAACAAATAATAAAACCATCACTACATTTGAAATTTGAAATTTGAAATAATAAAACCACCCTAATTAAGTCCTAGTTAGAGTTCAGCTTGTTTGGGCCTCTTCTAAACATACTTAAGCCCAATTAAAACCATCACTACATTTGAAATTTGAAATTTGCACAAAACATAGTTTGCCCATTGTCATGGCTTGCTTGAGAGAGCACAAGACATTCCTAGAAGCCACATCTATGTCTTTGCTCAATTAGCTGAAAGTCAGTAATGGAAATTGAGTTACTAATTTTGTCTCAAATTTCATGACAATACAGTTGGGGACGGATTTTCAGTCACTAATTCCATCACCAACCTGTTGACACCTTATTTCCTTGGTCTGGAAAGTTCTTTCTTATATACTCATTGTAGCTCTGTATCATAATCAAGCTTACTTGTGATAATCATACCACTCTTCACATTGATATACTCCACAACACATGAATTTTCATTGTGAGAGAAAGAGTGCTCTCAAGAGAAATCACCATTGATTTTGTTAGCTCTAGTTAGTAACATGCAAGCATCTTCACTAAATCTCTCATGGGGTCTTGTGTAGGTTGAGGAGGAATCTTAGAGAATTATATGTATGGCCCATACACACAATTCCTGTACAAACACTCTTATAAAACATACTCTAGGACTATATTTTTCACAATTTTCTAACAAACATGAGAATATTCATTTCTGCCCTTATATTCCCAGAAATAAAAGACGGTGACAGGAAACAAATGGCCCCTAAATGATATTTTTGTTTATAAATCACATCCGTTGTGATTGATTTTTCTGTTGTTATCTCTATTACAACCTGTTGTTATTGCCTAATGATCTTTGTTTTTGGTCACATAACTTGGTCGATGGTTGAATAAGTCTATATAATAAGTTAACAAGGTAATATCATTAAATATTGTCAGCCATGTCTCTCCCACCAAAAAAATTCCCCCTTTTCACCAAATTTACCTCTGTAATTTCCTTCGAATGACTGACTAGAGGGAAATAATTGTCGGGAAAGTTGTATTTTTAAACTTTTGATTGATGAATTTTAAGTTGTTCCACTATCCCTCACTCTCTGAGAAATGCTTCTTATACATTATTGACATTCACATTCTTAATTAAAATGTAGCCATTTAAAACTTTAGGATGTTTGTAATGCAAGTATTGATATCTTATTGTGCAGGAGTTGGGTATAACATCTGACGAGGCACTAAGTTTGGAGGATCTTCCTAAAAGAGCTGTGGTTCTTGGAGGAGGGTGTGTCTTTATCTTTTTTGTGTTATTAGTTTAACTACTTAGTATCTCAGGTGGTTACTTTATGTTCCATTTTTCAGTTATATTGCGGTGGAATTTGCATCTATATGGCGTGGGATGGGTTCTGAAGTTGATTTAGTTTTCAGAAAGGAACTTCTGCTAAGGTTTGGCTTTGATATACTTCTTTCGTGTATAAGTTATTAGTAGTCATAAAGGAGCCTTTTGGATATGTGTATTTTTCCCCTCGTTTGCTTTTAAGTTTTAACATTAGCCAATCAATGTAGACATATATTTAACTGGTATGGAATTTTTTTTCCTTAACCTCCACATTATTTGAAACATTTTGTTAAAGTGTTGTCTTTACTTGATATTGGTAATTCAGATGTTGAAAGAATTAGTGCATTAATAGGTCACGAAGGATGGTACTACTTTGCTACCGTGTTGAGAAGAGAGAAAACGAGAAGGAATATAGTGAACTTTGTGTGTACACGAGATTATTCTTATTTTTTTAATGAAGTGATACAATCATAGGAAATTATTAAATATAATAAAAAATTATGTATGAGGATAATCTCCTTTGCGTCTAAAACACACATAAGGTAATATATTTATAATGAAGAATTATACAAGCATATATGACAACTAAACATAAATATGGTAAATAGAAGATATTGTTAAAAACAATATCAACAATGTCTACCAATTTCAAACAATATCAACAATGTCTACCAATTTCAAACAATATCAAAAGTCTACATTTCCCTAATTAACATAAAACACAATATATCTAGCACTTTTCTTCAAGATGGTGCATATAAATTGTATGTGCCAAGCTTGTTACAAATATAAACAATCCCTTTAAAAACTTATTGAAAATATCTGCTAATTAATCGTTTGAGTTAAAGAACTCAATCTTGATGTCTCTAGATACAATCTTTTTTCGAATGAAATAACAATCAAACTCAATGTGTTTGGTCCTTTCATGAAAGACAAGATTAGACTTATGTGAAGAGTCGCCTTGCAAATGTGTTGACCAAGTCCTTAAGGAGACCTCAGAATGAGTTTATTTGTTCTAAGCTTGGTACATACAATCTATATGCTCTAGCTTGAGGAGGGGTGTTGAAATAGCTTGAAAATCTATGTAATCATTAAGTCTAAGGCAGGAGGTTGAGTGCTAGATAACCTCTGCCCTAGTTCTTTGTCCAAGTAGCTTAGGACAATTTTTTTTGCCTTTTAATCTTCCTATTGTATCAACCTGCGTATATAAAAATACAGAACTATAAGAGTAGTTCATGAAGCCCCCTAGAAATATATTTCTATGTTTTAATCTCAAGTCTATTGTACGAGTGTTTGTATGATTCACGTTAAGACTCTTTTTTTCATGAAAAACTGTCTTATGGTTATTGTCGTCATTTGTCTTACATAGGCTTTAGACAAGTATATGTAGCAGAGACAATCCTTTATCTTTGAAACAGATCTAGTGATCTTCATATCTTAGCTTTGATCCTTACACAATATTCAGTTAATTTTAGCACTGGTCTAAGATGAAATTAAAATGTTTCCAGTAATAGAGCGTTGGATGCTAGATAAGATTGTCGACGAAAGATTTCTATAGATTGTAAAGACACTAGATGGTGTGTTGTTCTTGTCTATAGAAATTCATAGTACCTTAAGTTGTTTTAATTCCAATGTATATTTTTTTTACTTCATGATATCTTATTTAATCTTTTATTACTTCAAAACTTAATCTTATTTGTTATCATGAAAACATAGTGTAAAAGATGTCCAGTATATTCAAACTGTCCAAGAGATTCGACTGTGCGGTTCTCAACATATTTGAGTTCTGAGTTTTGATCTACAAAGACTCAACTATCCCTAACTTTCAATTTTTGTCGAGTTGAAATGTGAAAAATCCTAGTCTAGAGATCATTGTGATTTGAAATGAAGAAAAGGAATATTGCATTCTTAAGAATGCTAAACTCTCAGCATGAATCTTAGACCCCCAATATCAACATGGTGGAATCAGTAAGATATGGGGATACATTGATGAGATCGGAATATGTTTTGGTTGTTGGGATAGCATATGAATTTGAAGGAGAAAATAGAAAGAGAAGAGATAGGGTTGTGTTTGATATTGCTTTTGTTTTTCAGGATGTAAAAACTGTTTGATAAAACAATTTTTAGAGAGTAGAACCAGGATATGTATACGTATAAGAAAGAACGAGTGATAGAAAATTGAAAGTAGAAAATCAAGGCAAGTTAGAGATGTTCTGATACTTTGGTTTTAAAAATTAAAGAGATATTAATATTGAAAACAATTTTCCAAAACTACTCTTATAAAAAAGTGTTCTTATTTTCTGATTTTGAAAATAGGAAACATACAGGTATGCTGTTTTCGTAGAACTGGTTTTCGTAATAGAAATTTAACTTAGGTTGTGTTAGAATAATTACATCTATGTATAAACATTAAGCCTACTTAAGGTGTAGTGTGGTAGTCTTTATGAGTTGTATTTATAGTAGTACCTAGTTCTGCACCTAGGTGTCTAAGACAGTTCTTTAATATTCCATGTACTTTTGTATCAGTTTTTTATTATAACTAGAAGATAGTGAGAGGGATCAATTAAGTCCTTTAGAAATATATTTTATAGTTTCAATCTCAAGTGGACGTTAATAGTACATAGGTTTCATCTCCTACATGTATTTGAATTCAGAAAATCAATAGTCATAATCATTTATATAGAATTTACCTTGTCAAGTCAATCTGATTTGATGAGATTCATATCTGTAGGAAATTTGATAGTGGTTAATGATATGCCATCGACGATTGTGGGAGTTAACGTACTATGGGTAAAATTAGAGTCAGTAAACAGTTTCATACTTCAGTATGGTTCTTGTAAATGCATTTATTCTTTCGTGTGTAAAATGCTCACTCATTAAATTTATGTATAACTTTTGTAAGTTTATTTTAAAGTTTCTTTCAGTATTTTCTACTGAATGCTATCCAGCTTTTTGGTTAGTAAAGTTAAATACAGTGTTAGGAAACCAGAATTGAAAAGAGAAAGAATAGTAATATTCTTTATTGTATAAACTGAAAAAAACACAAAAATAGGAGAGCACTCTCTCCTCCAAGGGTTTCCCCTTCACAAAGAGCTAAAGCTCAATCTACAAAATTATCCCAAAAGTGCCTAGCATACCAGGATCCCCCAACTATATAAAGGAAACCTCACTCACCCTAACAACCTAACTAACTACTCCTTAATCTGTTTTCTCCTATCTTACACATTATATCCTATCATAGAGCGAAACACTTTAAGGTAGCATGGATTTATCCACGTGTTGGTGAATCAGTTTGTCTTTTATTTCTTGGATCCTGAAAATGGTACCAATCACAGAAATTGTTGGCAAAATATCCAAAAAATCCACGCCAGCCCCACTTAACACTTAGGATTTAATGATTTATTTCTGAAACATTGTTGCTTTCAGCATTGGAAGTACTAGTTTATTCGTTTCATGTATGTGTGGTAGTGGTTTCAAGAAGTGTTAAAGGCTGGTCAATTATAGAATATTTGCTATACCACTCACAATTAATAGGTTGCATTTTTCCTTAGTTTTTGTTAGTATCAATTTTTCTGTCTGTACTATACATTACTCCTGCTGAATTATACTGTTGCAGAGGTTTTGATGATGAAATGAGAGCTGTAGTTGCAAGAAATCTTGAAGGCAGGGGAATTAATTTACACCCAAGGACCAATTTGACACAGGTATTTCCTGTTGGGGTTTGTAACTCACATTTGTAGAACTTCTTTTTCGTTTTTATTAGCTGGGGGCTTAGCTAATTTAACAAATTTCGGTTTTTTAGTTGATCAAAACAGAAAATGGCATTAAAGTTATTACAGATCATGGCGAGGAGCTGATTGCAGATGTTGTACTATTTGCCACAGGTAAGGATACTACTGAGAATAAATATCTCAATGTTGTGTATCTTAGACACACATGAATGCTATTTATAACGGGGTTAACTAAGTCTTTGAAACTGGCTTATATTGAAATTTGTATCTCCAAAACTTTTAACATTTAATAAATATGTTAATTTGGTTCTGATAGTGACTTTATTTTTCTTGAATTAGGAGTGTTAAAATGTAATCATCCTACTCAGATAATTGCATATATGCTAGCATGTGACACTATAAAAAATTAGCGTGTCAACACTATTAATTTGAAAACAGATTAACTTATCTGGATAAAATTAGCATTATTAAGTGTTACGTCTTGAAAACATTTTGGAGGTACTGATTTTTGAAGCTATTAGAAACTTATTTAACCCTTTTAAAATATGTAGTTAGGGAGCACATATGTCATGTTTCTCGCTGGAAAGTCATCTTAATTGTGACCTCTTTGGAGATTGCTTTAATTGGAGCCACAACACCTAAAATTCAACATATAAATTAATAATAATATGCTGAAAACTCAAGTACAAGATCATGAAGATTAACTATGTTAGTACTTCGCTGAAGCTACAACGCAAGCATTAAAGAAACAGAACTAACTACTTATTTAATAGGAAGTAGACAATACAAGATTTTCAGTAAAAGAATTACGACTGGACAACCCATCAATATGTCTTCAAATTTAACTCACTATGATAGTTTTGATAGTCCATAAAAGCATTGGCCATCAGAAAGAAATCCAAACTGTTCTTGACTTGTCATGTTGATACACACACCTACATATATATGTGTGTGTGTGTGTGTACTCATACACATATTTAGCACAGACTTCTAAAATGATTAGTGTTTTAAGAGGATGATAGTTAACACATCCCCTGGTATATTATATATTAAATTACACAATTTAAGAGTAAGTCTCTCAAATAGACGTCTCAAAATTTTCTCTTCTCTCTCACTTGGTTATGTATTTGATTCATTATTTTTGCAACTAGCTAAATTTGTTTTATTTCAACCATCTCAAACTCCTCTTTATCTTTATTATTATACTTGATATTCTTTTCTTAGCTGTTTATCTTTTTCAATCTACCCTCATCATCTTTTATCTTAACTGTTTATGTTTGTCTTAAAAGTTGTCAATATTTAAAGTAACCTTGTATCATAATTTAAATTATTCATAGTAAATCCAAAATTTTATATCTTTTGTTAGATGTAACGGGCTTAGGCCATCTCTTTATATTTTTCTATTTTTAAATGCATAACCCTATGTGCTCAATACACATTAGGGATTCATCCTATGTTTCTCTTTCTTTTATTTCAAGATAGTTAAAAAATATATTTATCATGAATTTTAATTTTATTATTCAAAGTGTATTTATTTGTTTTGAATATTAACATAATATTAAAAAAGCATTGCACAGAGTATCTCGTGGAATAATTGCTTGAAAATATATTCTTCTCAACTATTTTTCTGTTGCTGCAGGGAGGGCTCCTAATTCTAAGAGGTTGAATTTAGAAGCTGTAGGTGTTGAGGTTGACAAAGCTGGAGCAATAAAGGTTGACATAACTCTCCTTTAATCACCTGATTCCTTGAAGTCTGGCAAGAACATGTTCTCATTTCGAGATCTGTATAATATAGGTGGATCCATTGTGATTCTACAGTAGTTAATAATGGTCTCTGGTTATATAGATACAAACATAAGACTTTTTCTACTTGAATACCAATCTGCAAATGCCATAATGTAGTTAGTTCTGACTGGTGGGCCGAGTCATTAATTAGAGAACTCGAATAAATTCTAAACTATAAAGGAATTTGTATAACTAATCCCTTCCAAGTAGAAGTTAAAGCTGTAGTTTGTTTACATGCCTTTGAATAAGTGACGGAAACTACTATTTTACAGTCAAAATCTGTTTATCGAAGCATTCTCTTATCAATTACTTCGTGAGTAGAAATATAGATGTCTGAGTAAATTGGTATTTAAGGTTATATCATCTCAAACGCTTTTGTTGATGACTGGATATTGAATTGAACAATTGTTTTAAGAGCGAGAGAATGATTATGACTCTCATAGTTCTAAATGTTCTGCGTTCCTTTGTGGTTTAGGTGGATGAGTATTCGCGCACAAGCATACCTAGTATATGGGCTGTGGGTGATGTCACAAACAGAATGAATCTTACACCGGTGGCCTTGATGGAGGCATCATGCTTTGCAGTAAGTATTTAGATAGTTTGTGGATAAGCATACGTATTTATCATCTGGTCTGAGTTGGTGCAGTCAGCTGTTGGTTGGTCTAAAGGTGCTCTTATTTATTGTTGTCTAACATGAATTTGTTTTGCAGAAAACAGTATTTAATGGGCAAACAAGCAAGCCAGACTACAGTAATATTGCATGTGCGGTGTTTAGGTGTAGTTTCTTTTGCATTTTAAAACTGAGTGGTTAACTATTTTGAATGTTAACTTATGATGGTAAATCCCCTTCCCATTTTATCTCTAACCATTTTGTTTCTTTCTTTTCATGGTTCTGCAGCATTCCACCACTTTCTGTAGTAGGTCTCAGTGAGGAGCAGGCAATAGAGCAAACCAAAGGTGATCTGTTGATTTTTACATCAACCTTCAATCCTATGAAAAACACCATCTCTGGGTAAGTGTAGGGACCTGAATTTTCACCCACTTTACCTTTATTTCAAGCCAATGACTTGCAGAATTCATGACAACTTGGATCAGAACAAAGTTTCTGTAGAAAATATTGTTCATTACGCATATTTTAAATCCTTTCAGCATTTGTTTTATTTATTTACTCCATTGCAAATCATTGTTTTGGATTCTAAGAATAAAAGACGTTATTGTTAATCTGGATCTATGTTAGCCTCCATTATAATGACTATTAACTCAAGTATTAGTTGGACCGAGTATTAGTTATGTGTGTTGCACCATAACTTTCTTATCTAGATTATTTGCTCATATTTTGTTAAACTCTAGGAAAGATAAAAACATTGAGCTGAAAACGTAAATTTTTTGAGATAGTATGCGTGCTTTATTTATATCGAGAAAAAGGAACCAATATAATAAATAGAGGAGGTTTGATGTCTTCTTATGTGGGAATAAATAAAATCCTTCCTAATAATACATATATAATCTAGATTTTATTATATATGATCAAGTCCTTATTTCTATAATTATAACACTTTTCAAATAGGCGACAAGAAAAAACTGTCATGAAGCTTGTTGTTGATGCTGAGACAGATAAGGTTCTTGGAGCCTCGATGTGTGGACCTGATGCACCTGAAATTATACAGGTATCCTAATGGTTTCATCTGGTACTCATATAAAATTGCAAGTTTGGCGTATTTGTTTTCATCATGTTGTCTGTTGTTTAGAAACAAACCTTTATACTTTTTCCTTTTAGTGCACCATTGTTGCAGCAGTATCTGAAAAGTATTTCATTTTAAAAATCATAGAGATCCTCTCAAGAGTGGTATCAATTTTCCAATTTCATGATACATGTCCTTAATAAATTTGATTTAATAATATTGGTTATACAGGGTATTTCTATTGCATTGAAGTGTGGAGCTACCAAGGCACAGTTTGACAGCACGGTAAGATCACAGTTTTTCTTAGTGTTTTCCTCTCCTGCCTTCTGAGGGCAGTGGTGGGTTATTTTTACTGGATGGGAAATGATTCAGTGACATCTGGAAGGAGCTCATATTCAATGATGAGCTCAACATTGACAACATTTTGGTGGTTATAATGGTTATTTAGAAATTATAATGTATAGATAACTGCAAATAGCAGTAGACAGAGTTTTGTAAGATGTTTTCTCGTTCTGTCTTATTGATTATGTTTATACTGTTATAGTTTCTGATTGCTTCACCTGACTGTTTAATCTAGGTGGGAATACACCCATCGGCTGCAGAAGAATTTGTAACCATGCGGACAGTGACACGGCGCGTTACTGGAACTGGCAAACCCAAGACCAATTTGTAAGATGTCTTAATGAAAATAATTTCTGTTTGCTGGGTAGTGTAAAGCTGCAAATTACTTCCTTTGGTGACCTTTCAATAAAATGGGTTTTTTATTTATCAAATATCATTCTATTTCACATTCCATAGTGGAAACAGTTTGGTTCATTATGTAAGAATGTTATATAAATTAGGACTTGTTTGATGCAGTGAAGGACCAATATATTTAGAGTTGAATATATTTTTTATTCCCTTGAATTTGAGTTAATTTTGTTTTACTTTTAAATTTAATATCGATCTGTTTAGCATTGCAATGATACAAAGGTCTTTTAGTCTCATGATCCCAATGTTTTTATACATATATATGTTCCTAAACTAATTACTTCGAAAGAAAAATAAATGTGAATTGTCAGAGAAAAATTTAATTGAGGTAGGCTGCATCTTTCACTGTCTTTATAATGGAGATTAGAAGAAGTATTTTTCAAATTATCCACGAAGAAATAAAGAGATTAATTCAAAACTTGAGAAACTAAAAGTATATTTAAATTATATATGTATTATTAGTATATTTTAAATTGATCATTGGGACTGTACTACTTAATAAAGCAAAACTTGATTTCCTGTTATTCTGTATAACATGAAATAATATTTTAAATTTACTTTATTGACAAATATTTTTCAATTAATCTTAGTTTTCATAATGATTTTTATAATTTTAGTTTTTAAAATTAATTTTGAATTGTTATTTTTTATTCAGTACCAATCATTTTAGTTATATATTAAACTGTTCATCTTACATTATACCTTAAAATATATATTTTTTTCAGAAAATAATTCTGGTGAAATTCAAATAAGAAAAAGATATTACTTTGATGTGAATAACATACATTCATTACGTTAATTAATATGAATGTTTACAAAATAGTATAATGTAAAAAAAGTATAATCAATCAATACCGATATCGATATTTAGGTATGTTATTTAAACAATAAAATAAGTATCATAATCAGATAATCGTTAACATAAACAGTATATTATAAAATTATAGATTTGGAGGAAATTTATTTTATGTATTTTTAATGAGAAAATTGTTAAAAAAATAATTCTTTTTCTAAACAAAATAAGTTTATATATAAGTTTTAAAATTAAATTTGACTAAGAATAACTTCTACAAATTAGTTCGTGAGCTAAGCTTAACGTATATAAAAGTTAATTTCATTTATTTCTTCTTTTTCTCTTTAAAAAGACACAAGAAGACGTTTATCCGAGTATAATATCAACAACTATGTAATGAAATGAGAAGTTCAAAATAAGAAAGTTTTATCTTATGTCATATTTAATGAGGCTGAAAGACGAGAAACAAAATAAAGTATATAACAAACTTTAGTATTCAGAAAATATTAAAATGTAAACTAAGCAGTTCAAAGATAAAAGAAATTAAATGAACATAAAAATCTAGAAGTCGGCATTTATAAAACATTAAAAATAGTTAAAACACAACTAATAAGGTGAAACACGTTTGTAGACTGTAAAAAAGTGTATAAGGGTTTTTTTTTTCTTGGTGAGTAAAAGTGATTTGAGTTTATTTTTAATCTAATTTTTCACCATACCCAAATTGGGTTAGTTTTATTATTTATATCAAGCAATCTAATTCTAGCCAATTATAGTTAGACTGGATTAATTTAGGTTGGACCATGAAAACTTAAAAAAGTAGGAAAATCTACTTTAAAATAAAAAATAAATTACGTTAATATATCTTGAAATTTATATATCTACACCCGCTGTTTTTTTTTACTGTTAAATGGCTTCTCTTAGGGTGCAAGTGTACCGATTTTTAAAAAAGGAGCCTCCTGCACCCCATTTGTTTTCTTCTTGCACCTCCAAATTTTCTTTAGCTTTTTATTTTGCCCCTCCTAATTATATATTAAATAATGTAAGAGTGTCGAGTCACCGAATTTCAGAAGCCAAACTTCGTTGGAAAAGAGGGTGTGCGTTTTCTAGCGTGGCGGTTTTGAGGTGGTTGAGTTAAAGTCAAATAAGAATTGAATTATGAGATTTGTTTAAGGTTTATGTGTATCAGATTTTTTTGAAATTTGGTTTTGTTTTCTGGATTCAAGAGTCAAAACTGAATTATTTAATCTAAGGGTTTTCATGAATCAAAGTATATATGCGCCTTTCATTGTGTATTAATTTCTTGTTTATACTCTTAATTCTTCTTGAAATAGGAATGCGGATAGCTTGATTTATGAATGAATTTGTTAGGTTTTGAAAAGAATTTAGTGAACTCTAGGCTTAAAATAAGAGATCTGGAATTTGTATATAGGAATAAAACTTCAGTCATTAGTTATTTTAAACTTTAGATTTTAATTCTGGTTTGTTTGCTATTTGTTTAAGGGATTGATTCTTAGTGAGAAAACACATGCCCTTTCACTTAAAAGATTAGGGTTTTAGTATTTTAGTGAGTTAACTTTAGTGCTTGATGGAAAGGAGATGTTTCTGTAGGTGCATGAGACTAAAGCCAATGAATTCTACAAAGTACGCCTTTGAATTCTTTGTTTATTTATTTACTTGCAAATAATATTCTATTAATCAATCTAGATGAGTTATTAATCATACAATTATTTAATATTACATGAGTTTCTTAGAAAATGATACTTGGATTTATCATTTTATATTACTTGAACAATTTGACACACTTATCGATGAACAAATAAGTTTTTAGCACCATTACTGGGGACTTGTGGCCATTCTTTTCTTGTAAATAGTTATTTAAATTGAATTAGGCTTACTTGTAGCTTTAGCCATGTTGTTCTCTAAGTGTATGTAGGGTAGCATCCTTTCAAGGAGGGTCATATCCTCAAATCATCACAACACACCCTCAAACTGAATGAAGAATAGTGGCATGGGGAGGCAACAAGTAGTCCATGTTCTCCCTTTCCTGTGTCATGCTCTTTTTGTGCTTTGGACAAGTTAATGGATAAGGAGAAGCAAAAAAGGAAGCCTTGTCACCACTACTCTTTGATGGGAAGCAAAAAACTCAAGCCTTGCAAGCCAAATTTAATCAAATTAGGTTTTGAGTGTTTACAGATGTCAAAGTAGTGGAAGGCTAAAATGGAAGCTCCTTGTACTAGGAAGTTTAGTTGGTGGTTATAATTGGTTCCATTTTATCCTTGGTGCACTCTCGTACATATTCTTTTAGTGTCTTAGTTGACCTTTCTCTCTAGTTGTTAACCATGGGATACAACTTTTACTTTGAGCTTAATATTTACAGGATTACATCTTCCTCAGGGACAAAAAGTTTCAAAATAATTGTTGGCCAACCTTTGAGTCATGTTAGACCTGAGCACCATTTCAAATAAAGAATTTACTACTCGAATCGCATGGCCTGAGGGCCAAGCCCCTACTGATGAGGGAGGCGGGGAAGGTGGAGTAGCGGTTGCTATAAGGAGGAGGATGCCTTAGATGGAAGTGAAGATGGTGTTTCATGAACACCGATCAATTCAAAGCCATTCCTCTTAAACCTCAACATGAAACCAGAAATACAAAGTAATTCGACTCCTGGGTCTGCTTATTTTTATTAAACTAATGCATCTCACTCTGATGGATAACAAAGAGATTCAGATTATGGATTCATTCAACTAGAGAAAATATTAACAGAAACAAGGGAAATAAGGGCCAGCATAACCACCCATAACAAGATGGTAAGATCAAGTGATCAATAAACTATAGTGTATTGACCTAATTCACTATTTTGGCAACTACAAGGATCAAATGGTAAT